CAGCATGGCATTGCACAGTGCAGCACGGCACGGCACGGTGCAGCACGGCACAGCGCAGCACAGTGCAGCATGGCACGACACGGTGCAGCACGGCACGGCACGGTGCAGCACGGCACGGCACAGCATAGCACAGTGCAGCATGGCACGGCACGGTGCAGCACGGCACGGCACGGCACAGCGCAGCACAGTGCAGCATGGCACGGCACGGTGCAGCACGGCACAGCGCAGYACAGTGCAGCATGGCACGACACGGTGCAGCACGGCACGGCACGGTGCAGCACGGCACAGCGCAGTACAGTGCAGCATGGCACGGCATGGTGCAGCACGGCACGGCACGGTGCAGCACGGCACAGCGCAGCACAGTGCAGCATTGCACGGCACGGTGCAGCACGGCACGACACGGCGCAGCACGGCACGGCACGGTGCAGCGCGGCACGGCACGGCACTGCCCCAGGGTGCAGATCACAGCTCTGGGGACGGCTGTGGCACCGAGCGTCCCCTCCCCGTGGGGACGCGCTGAGTGCGGGGGCCCTGGCAGGCCCGGTGCAATGCGGTGGCACTGCAGCACCCGCTGCCACCGCTGCTGGTGTGGGGACACCGTGTGGCTGCAGGGGGGTCCTGTGCGGGGGGGTGGTGACGTAGGTGGGGGTGGCGCTGACCAGGACACCCCGCCCCCCCAGTGTCCCCCTCCCTGGCTCTGCAGAGCTCTGCAGAGAGGAATGTCCCCGTGCCCTGCACAGAGCCAGCTGCTGTGTCCCCTGCGTGTCCCCTGCACTGTGTCCTGTGACATTCCCTACACGCGCCCTCCACGTCCCGGGCAGGATCCCCTACACGTTATCCGCACTGTGCCCTGTGCCATGCACTGCACTGTCCCGCACATTCCCTGTGCGTATCCCGGGACATTCCCTACGTGTCCCCTGCACCGCGTCCTGGGCCATCCCTGTGTGTGCGGTGCAGGATGCGCTGCGCGTCCCCGTGCTGGATCCACACCGTGTCCCACACCGTGTGCCCTGTCCCCGTGCCCTGCGCGGTGCCGCGTGTCCCCTGTGCCACTGCCCTGCTGCCCAGCAGCCGCGCTGTTTGCTCAGCAGGGCGTGGGGGAAACGTGTGCGAGTGTGTGCGCACGTGTGCGCACACGTGTGCGCGTGCCGGTGTGCACACGTCTGCTTGTGTGCACGTGTGTGCCTGTGTGAGTGCACGCACAGTGTGGTTGTGCACACATGTGCACACATGTGTGCACACGTGTGCATGCCGGGAGCTGCAGCCCTGCAGCAGCGTGCATGCGTGTGTGCACAGGCACACACGTGTGCATGCTGGGAGCTGCAGCCCTGCAGCAGCATGCGTGCATGTGCATGTGCACATGCACATATGTGTGCATGCTGGGAGCTCCAGCCCTGCAGCAGCGTGCACGCGTGTGTGCACATGTGCGCATGCTGGGAGATGCAACCCTGCAGCAGCGTGCATGCGTGTGCGTGTGCACAGACACACATGTGTGCATGCCAGGAGCTGCAGCCCTGCAGCAGCATGCATGCGTGTGCACAGGCACACATGTGTGCATGCCAGGAGCTGCAGCCCGGCAGCCGCGTGCATGCGTGTGCATGTGCACATGCACACACGTGTGCACCCTGGGAGCTGCAGCCCTGCAGCCGCATGCATGTGTGTGCGCACATGCACACACGTGTGCGATGCATGCGTGTGCACATGCATGTGCGCACGCGTGTTGCGGGGTGTGTGCACACAGCCGCAGCCCCACATGCAAGGGGGGTGTCCAGTGTCCTGGTGGGGTGAAGGAGGGATGGACGGACAGATGGGCCGGCGGGAGGGCCGGGCGGGACCGGGCCGGATGGGACAGGGCCGGAAGGGCCCGGGCCGGGCGGGACCGGTCCCGAGGCCGCGCGGGGGCTGCCGGGAAGGAGGCGGGCCGGGCCGGTCCCGCCGCCCCCCGCGGCTGCCG